ATGTTACACAAAAGTTCCAAAATGCCTCCAAGAAGCACATCTTTATTGCTTATTATTTTTTTTGGTTCTGGCCATCACAAGTATGGAGGTAATTAACTCACTGGCTGTGTGGAGGTGTAACCTCTTCTCTCTTGCATTTGTCCCCAGGTTTCACCCAGGTCATGATTCCTTCTATGGGTAAGCATTAGTCTGCTGTATGGGGGGTTGTCACTTATATGTGGGAAGGAAGAGGGTTGTCCGGGGGTTTTGTGTTGATGTTTGAGTGCCTGAAGTCAAATTTATCTGGAGCTGGGGTTGCATCTCAAGCCTCCAACGAAGCAGTACAAGGTCCGTTTGGTATTTGCATGGGAGACCTCCCAGGTAAGACGATCCAATGGACTGGAGAAAGCAGGACTGGCAATTTGATAAACCCTTCTCTCCTCCGGTTCACAAGTGAACCTGGGTCCAACCAGGGCAGGAAGGGCACAGTGCAGTCCTCGTTCAAATGGGATGGGGTGTTTCTGGCATCTTTCTATCTAGAGATGTGGCCAGGCAGCTGGACTGTTACGTGTTGGGATCACATCCGTTTGTTGATCTTACTTTTCTAAATCTGAGAAATGTTTGTTCTTTGCAGTGTTTCTACTGGTGTTGCTGATTGTAGCTGCTGGGTTATATTATGCCTGGAAAAAATACAGGTAAGTATTACTAGCATGTCCTACAAAGATGCAACACAGGCAACTTGCAGAGCGCAGGTGGCCTGACAATTCAAAGCCATGTTGGGAATTGAGACATGCTGTGCCCATTCACTTCAGTGAGAGCTGTGCCTCTCAATCCTTTAGGCAGCTTGGAAAAAGCCCAATCATCCATCATTACAGATAAGTGAGGCTGTAACTGGGACAGATCACTTGAGCAGCCAGTAAGTCCTGATAAGTGAATTTCCTTCCTGTACAAAGGGCCGTCCCAAGGCCCCAGGCATCCCAAAAGTTCTGATTGGGCATGTCTACATGCTCATTAATGCGCTTTTGGTAATGAACATTAAATTTAGTACCTCCATTGTGAGGTACTAGAGGAAGGCGCATTAGCCTATTTTAATGCGCATTAGCAAAAGTGCACATTTTCTTGGTGACACTTTAATGTGCATTAAAATCGGTTAATGTGCATTAAAGCGTACATGTAGATGTGCCCATTGCATCCTCAAACTAGGGCTTATGTGGAGTGGTGAACGGGTTACATCTGCTTACCTTCTACATAGAGGTGAGCATTGACCTGATGCCATTAAAAGGGATGGCCTTTGTTTGTAACTCTAGGTCCATCTCTTCTACTTATAATTTCCTTTTCTAACAGTAGTCTATGGTTTTTAATTTGTTTTTTGAAAAAAGACAAAGAGTCCTAGTCACAGATTATACATTATGTTGAAGAGCACTTGGGAAGGACTCAGGAGAGCAATCAGATTCACTTAAGCTGATGTGAGGATTCATTTAAAAAAAAAAGGCCAAAGACCTGATTTATTCAAAAGATCTTTGTTCTACTTCCATGGGCTGAGTTGGCATTTACCTGTATGACTAAACACTGTTGTGGAAGCATCTAAGCATTTGGGTTTGTTGGCCTCCTCATCAGGACGGGCCGATCTAGTCAGAATATTGTCAGCGCGGATGGAGGCTCCGTGTCAGGTGCCAAGACTTACATCTGCGAAACAGACGCAAATCTGGGGTAGGATTTCATTAAGCAAGCTGTAGAGGATCATCAAACCACCAGTGGCTTAGTAGGAAGTTTCATTAATTGGCAATAACTCTTATTTGTAGGATGCTGCACGTAAGAGGGAGGAGAAATTTGCAGGGTTATACTCAGGGTATCACTAGAGATAACAGGCAGAAACCTAGAAGGGAATATTTAGCCCCAATATCATCAAGCTCCCGTGAGTGAGCAAGCTCCCTAGATTGTGATGCTATCATCAGAGGGAAGTGGGGAAGCCCTGCTGTGTGTGTCATCTGAAAGTAGCCAGGATGAAACACTCTTTGATACATTACCGAGATTGGCACTTCTCGAAGGGACCATCAGTGGTATCGACTTTGCAAGTAGGTCTCCAATTTCTAAGAGCCAGATTCTCAGGAAGGCCTCTCCCCACCCCTCTGGCTCTGTAACTTTTGGTATTGTGTAGAGGCATATCTGCTTGAGACCCTCTAGTCAAGATTAAAGCTAATTACTGCACAGTAAGTGTCACTGTCTACACATGCCGATGCTTACTGCGCAGTAATTTGTGCTAATTGTGAGTAAATTTGCTACCTGCACACATTTGCAAGTAGCAAATTTATTCAAGATTACTTACTGCACAGTTGTGCACATGTAGATGCCTGACCAGCAGCACATTTGCTCCCGGTCAGACAGGCAGCAGAGGGTGGAAGATTGTTCCCTGCCCCTGGGAGCTGCCTGCTACCAGGGTGGGCTCTGCCATCAGAGCCCAGGCGGGGACAATGTCCCCCTGCCCTGGCAGAGGGAGCTCCCAGCCCCTGCTCTGCAATCAAGGGGCTGTGAGATTCTTCTCTCCCAGTGCCAGCTCCGCAGTCATGGGGCTGGTGCTGGGAGAGAAGGATCTCCCAACACCAGGCCTGTGACCACAGAACTGAGAGATAAGGATCTCCCAGCCCCACAATCATGAAGCAGAGGCTGGGAGGTCCCTGTTGCTGAGGGAGGGGGACACTGTCCTGCATGGGCTCCAGTGGTGGAGTCAGCCCCAGCAGCAGGCAGCTCCCAAGGGCAAGGAGCAATGTCCTAGCCCTGGCCAGGAGACAGCTCTCTCCTGCCCTCATGGTGCCTGCCAGCCCTTGGGCTAGCACCCAGGGGGAGCCTAGAGTTCCTACTGGCTGCTGCAGGGGCTCAGTGCAGGGCTTCAGGGAGTGGGAGCAGTCTGCTGCTAGGGGCAGTAAATCTGGTTCTGCATCCTTGCACATGTAGACGCATGAGACGCCCAAGAGATTTTACTTGGATGTGCTTTACTTTAGAGTAAACACCCAGGTTATTTGCATGTACAGACACACTCTAGGGGGTATAATCCAGAATAGCCATTCTGTACTGGAATGGCCCAAGTTGATGTTCTGTATCCCCGGTCCACGCTGAAGCATGCAGGCAGCATAGGTGAAGCCATTAGCAACGTGGTCACTCACGTTCTCTGATCCCATTAATGTTTTCTTTTGCACCTGCAGGAGGCATCAGTTTGCACTTCCTCAAGAAGACATCCCAATTAGTACATGGAGGGACATGATGGGGGCTGGACTCGATGATCCTCTGGGGTCCCTTCCAGCCCAAAGGTCTATGAATGTCTATGAAATCATAGAACAACGGGAAGAAATGCCCCCAGAAGACCATCAAAACGACCTAGAACACCCGACCGAAAGGACAGAGATGATGGCATCTTGTATGACACCCACTGGCTGAGGCCCTTAACAAAATCATTGTTATCCACTAACTTGAAAGGGGGAAGTATCCTTGGTGCTTTGAAGACATGAACTCTACCTGCATTAGGCTCTCACTGGTCAGTCACCACATGCCATCCACTCAACTCCTGACTGAAAATACAGCTTTATTTTTAAACAGTGGCAAGTATTTGCAAGACCTGGCTTCTCATCTTGCCATCATGGTGAAAGGGTGGGAGAAGCCCTACAAATATTCTGTATGGCTGCTCTGTTTGCTGCCCTTCAACCTGAGCTCAGAATCTACTAATTCTCCTGTAAGAGATCACTTAGATATTCTGGACACATCTTTTCATTCTTATTTTACTGCACTGATGCTTTCAAAGAGAAAAAGAAACAAATCTGTGGAGGGTTCAGAAGTGTCTCAGGTGGTCTGTTATATACCATGGAAAGAAGGAAGGAGAGAAGAAGTGACTGGTGAACCGGTAGGAAAGAACACAGTCCAAATAAAGAGAAGAGAAAGGTGAGTTGCAATACAGCTATTATGTAGACTCACTAGCGTAACTGGGATGGAGCTACTAGGGAAGCCATGCTGGCTGTAGCAGCATAGTCCCGCTGGTGGCCTGACAGCAGCTAAAAGTCACTGCTGTCCCTTTTGACCAGCTGTGTTATCACACCTCTTCATAGGCTTGATTTATACAGAAGCTCAGTCCTGCAGTCCCAGCCAACAGCAACCAGTGTTGAGGATGGTTTGCGCTTCTAAAAAAAAAACCTTTATACATGCAGGATTTTATGTATTGTGGACGTGTCTACACGTGCATTTAAGTGTGCCAAAATTTAATGCACATTAGCTTAATGCACATTAAGCGGGTTTAGGCAGGCATCTACACATGCAGGTGTTCAAGTGTATTAACGCTGTGTGTGGACTGACTTGGGGCTAAAGTTAGTCCCAGGTCAGTCCACATGTAGTATTAATGCGCTTTAACGCATTTACACTTATGTTAATGCGCTTTAACTATTCGCCCTTAAATTTGACATTTGCATTTGCAGGTATCGAATTTAGTTGCGAATAGCCTAAATTCACCATTTTTACTGCGCATTAAGGGCATGCATATGTAGATGCGTGCCCTTAATACTCATAAACTTAAGCTAATGTGGATTAAAGCATCACATGTAGACGCAACCTGTAATTCCTTACTGCGTCCATTTGGATTTTTTAAAAGTAACTTCATTTGCACATTTAAAATAAGGAAGAAAAAGACATCTCCTGCAATAAATGCAAGGTAGTTTGAAAAAGGTGAGAATGGAGGTTGACCCAGACAATAAAGGAAGTTTACCGACTAGTGACAGGTCTGTGAATGGGGGAAGCAGCCTCTCTCTGAAAACACTGCTAGGTCATTTAAAGCTAGACTGGACAAGGTCCTGGGAGATGGATCCTGAGGAGGGAAAGGAGATGAGCTTACACTTCAGCTTACTCATTCTCTTCCTTATCTCTAGAAGGACAAGAATGGAGGCTTAGGGGGTGAAGAAACTGTGTACATGAGGTGGGCTTAGGTGATGGTACGTCACAATCCACTTCATTTATTCTCTCAGTGAGACAGGGGAGTTATGTTATCTGGGGAATCATAGAAAATTAGGGTTGGAAGGGACCTCAGGAGGGAAGATGCTTTATAGCTTGTTCCCTTTAGTTATGAAGAAGGTCACTTTTGGTGAGTAAGGCAGATCAGAGGATGGGGCACGAGGTCTCTGGGTCAGGCGGTGCTGCCCCAGTAAAGCACCAGCAAGTCATCTCCCCTCGTACCTTCCAAGTGCCCTGAAGAAGGGCATCCAGTCTGATCACCCATCCCTGGTGCAACTCCTCAGTGACCTTGCAGAAGTTCATGGGCAGACCAACCCCTTGATTAAAGCAGTCTTCTCTTTCATCCAGCAGTTGACCAGCTGCCTTCTTGCCCCCGTCTCGCTCCTCTTGGATCTCTGACCTCTGCCCTTTGTTCTTTCAGGTGGCGTTAGCTTATGAAGTGAAATGTCTTGGGGGGTGGAGGGGAAAAGATATTCTCCAATTGCTACCAGCAACGTCCTGATCTTCAGGAGGAAGAGGACCTGCTGGAGCCACATCTGGCGATCTGGGGTCAGCCACAACACTTTGCTCAGGGATCTTGCACAGGCACTTTACAGCCTGATCCCAGATGTTTGCACAGGGCAGGTCTTTCCAGAAGACTGATTTCCCCTCAGATGACAGCAACGCCACCTCGTCCTATTACAGAGGT